CAACTTCAGCTTCCTTGGTTTTGATTGGAATAGCCCAAAGAAATTTAGAAAAAATACACACAATCGTAAGAAGCCAAGCAAAGCCATCATTATCATTTTTGTATGCTGTAAAATCCACAAGATCCATTTGAAGATGTTCCATAGGTCCATAACTTACAACTGGAGTAAGATCATCTTTTTTTTTAATTGATAATGTTCGATTACATGTACTACAATTGCGAATAAATTCATAAACATCATTTTTTGTAATGCCAATATGTTGTTTTGCGATTTTATTGTAACAATCCTTTGCATTAATATGTCGATCTTGAATATGAAATTGTTGAAAGAGAGATTGTCAAAATTCAGTATCCCATATAGGTACAAATTGTCGAAGTGATTGTTTTGCAAGTTGTACATAAAGAAGATCATCTTTTAAATGCCAAGATTTCATTTTGCATTTAAAGTTCCAATGATCTTTTGATTTTATTGTAGTAGGTATTACTCCATCTCGAAGATAGGTAATAATATCTTGATATGTTGCAAGTGTTTTTGGAAATTCGATTTCATAAACCATATAATTTTTTTTTTAAGTAAAAAGAAAAAAAAATTTAATTTAATCGAAAGTTATATTTATAATAATACGTATATAAAAAGTTTATTTTTTAATATATAATTATTAATGTGATCAAACTTTCGCTTAAAGTTTATTTAACCAGATCACATGATTACCTCACGTTAGATCATACCTTATGTTGGTCCCTCACATTTAATAATAAATTAATACATGATAACAAGTTAATATAAAAAATGTTTATCATTATAATTAAATAAGTTATAGATAAGTATTTTAAATAAAGTATCCAGACAATATTTAATTTACTAAAAATAAATAAATAATAAATAATTTTTTTATTAACAAAACACAGTTAATTATTATAATAGTTACAGTATTTTCTTATTATATTTAAATATATAAAAATCTTGAGATTTTAAAATTTATAGAATTTTTATATTTGGTTTCACTTGGGAAATCTTTAAAATAAGGAAAGAACTTTAAGATTTTTATATAAAAAAATTTCTTGAGATATGATATTATAATAAAAATCAATTCAATTAGATTTTTTGCATAAATTTTTCTGTATACAAAATTATATATTGAATAATCTATATTAATATTGTAACAATTTCATATTGAATAGTTTAATTACTAAAACTTTGATTTATTATATTAATAGTACAGTTATAACTATGATACAAATGTACAATTCATTGGCTCTAACCAAAGATTAAAAAAGTTCTTTCAGCACTTCATTTATAATATATAGATCCATACATTTTTCAGTATAAATTGTGACAGACTATCGGCGATTCTGTCGCCAACCGGAAGCGGAATTCGCGTAACCGTCACTTTAGTTTAACAATAAAAAACTCCGGATTTGACTTGACCGAATTCTTTCTTTATTAGATACTTCTATTCTTTTTTATACATGTTTTTAAATATCTGAATAAAAGGTTTTAGAGAGTAAAAGAAAAAGATCGAAATCGATAGAACAAGTGGCTGTAAGTTACATATTGTTACTGGTTGATATTCGTGATACTCCTCCGGTTAAATATCAGTTATGTGACTATTTTGCATCTTGACTATTTGATTTTACCTCTTACAATACATGCCAAATTATTATCCAACAAATATTAAATATAAAATTTATTTAAGTCAAAATCATATTTTCTATCTCTTTTTATTTTAATGGTATATCATCTACCGAAGTTAAATGAAATTTATTGTCTTCTTTTAAATCGACTTCATTTGCTGCTTCAATTATTACCTTAACTGTTGATAAGACATCAGCCTATATAGCACAAGATAATTATTATAAATATTTAATAAAGTTTTTATAAAATATTCATTTTTAATCCTTTACCTGCCAATCCATTAAATTTTAATTCTAAAAAGGAATTAGGTATTTCTGTACACATAAAAAGCTAAAGTATATACAGTATAGTGACGTGTTTTTCTTCCATGCGAAAATTCTATCATAATTATGGCCTGGCCTTTACCCGTCCTTTTGATAATTTTGTATATTTTAATCAAATTTGTGACTTTTTGTATCCTGCGTTGTTTGTTCGATCCTTGATTAAAATCCATAATATTAGTAATATTAGTAAAATTAATAACTTTAGTTTAAATTAATATTTACCATGCAACATCTAAGCTATCTTGATGCGCACTAAATAGTTGATTTAAAGTATAAACTATTGTATCAATAGCAAATATTCTTTCCAAATTGAGACTTCTAGATTTGATTCTTGGTGTTTCAAGTCAAACCGAGCTATTTATAGAAAATAAGCAATAGGATAAAAACATTAATTTAAAATTACAATATACTTACAAATGCGTTAATATCTGTTGGGCTATATCGTGTGCTTCATGATAATAGGGCTCAAATCTTCCGGATACAAATGATTTGCGCACAATTGTTGGAATTTCGGATTGAATACATACATCCTCAGTAAATTGCTCAATATATTGTGTAAATTCGGAGGTTGGCTTCCAATTCTTTTTTATAATAAAATTTTCAAGACATTTGAGTTGATATTCATTGAGAGTGTTTTAACTTTTTTAAACATATTTTTATTAGAAAGATCATGCCATTAAGACATACTGAATTCATGCAATTTTTTCTCGATTTTTTTTTCTTTCTTTTGATATTTTACCAATATATTGAGCAATTTATTGCGAATTTCCACTTCATCCTAAGAAATTAAGTATAGTTAAACGAAGATTGTGCATACATAGATTAGAAAAAATATAAATACCAATGTAAGCCTTACTATTGCATCATCCAAATCATCATTTTCTTCTAATTCCGAATCTTCATCATCTTCGTCCTCACTTTCTTCTAATTCTAAATCATCATCATTAGAATCTTTGGGAGTGGGAGCATTACCATCATCCGATAGTATTAGCTTCAGAGGAGATGGGTTCCTAATTTTAGATTCATCAGGCAATTCATCTGCCTAAAAAATTAATTCGATTATTTTTTTGTTTGCAGACGAAATATAAATTATATTTACCTTTTTTTCTATGCTATTCAGTCTTTTAAAACGTTTTTTCTGTTCAACATTCTGGAAGATTAAAAATGAAAATATTTAGCATCCCTAATTCTAATCTTTCAATTAAAAAAAATAAAAAAATAAAAAAATTCAAACAATACATTTTCATGACCGCACTTTAATGTGATCTTTTGGGGGTTACAAAAGTGAAAGCTTCATCATCGGTAAGTTGATTTAATTCAAATCTGCTTGTATTATCACATTCTCTATCTTTAGTAGATTCTTCTCCTGAAAAGGAAGGTTTAGAAAAAAACAATATTATTTTAATTATAATTTCCTCATTCACCCCGTTTGATTTTTTCCCACCAAGCAGAATCGAGACTAAACATTTCTCATGCCATTCCTTCTTCTACACAAAAAAACCTAGCATTTACCTGCATGTAATCCACAATTAATTGTTGTTCCTTTTCTTTTCTTCGGCCTTCTTCATTATTGGATATATATTTAAGGGATTTGATATAACAATTTACTTTATTCTAAAAGGTTCGACATCGCATTCATTAAGACCTCCAACTATGTTACAATCTGATGACCTTCTCCTAAAATATTTAGTTTGCTGCTTTTGGACATAAAAAGACAAAAAATTATAGTATATGTTAAACCTACAAAAAGCTCAAAGTTTTGACGTATGCTACTTTCATACTTTAATAGTCGATAACATCGTCTTGTGGTTTTGATAGTTATAAGATGGAAAAAGAGGTTGTGGTTGTTTTGAAGTTTAACTTAGGAGATTTATAAATAGGGTTACGCGTCGCGTTCTCGAAATCGACCAATCAAAATGTTTGATCATGTAGATTACTGATGTGGAAAAATAAACTCACTAGCAAACATCTTATTCGCCGATTTACGAAGGTATTTCTAGATTCCAAGATTATAATTCTGGGCATTAATATCGTGATGGTCGTTCGGCGAGTCTGTCGCTAGAGTGGGGCAGAGTGTCACGTAACCGTCGATGGGGTAAGGGTTTTAATGAAATTTGAGGCGTGTTCGATTTGACTGAGTAAAAAGATAATTCACTCCTTTATTTACTTTTGCTTCATTCTTTTTATACATTTTAGTTGGGACGACTTTTATACTCTGAAAAATATGGTAACATCGATTATCTAATGTCTTCTCATGATTCTCCTAATTACATAATACTCGATCATAATGATTTTATATTACATAATCGGTTTTCACGATTACCTAACTTCCTAAAACGCTATTATACTACTATTTTAACTATTTCCCATCACTTTCGATACCACCTTAAGTACCATGATAGGGACAGGTCCTTCGCGGCATTATCGCGACAATTAGTCACGTGACTGGAGTCGCATCACGATTTTTACCCTGACAATATATTCTATTTCGGAAAATTAAATGCACGAGCCGTAATATACTAAACTCATTTTAAGATGATATTTGTTTAAAACGTAAATGGACCTTGGTATCTCACTTCGATAATCTTTTTATTGTTAAATAGTTTGTTATTTTTAAACAAATAGTCTGCATTTCATATATCTTACTTTCCCTCGTGTAATATAAAATCGAATACATACAATTTCTCTTTAATTCTAATATCATAATAAAAAAATGAAAAATCGCCAAATTAGTAATACACTTCTAAAGCGAAAGTACAGATTTAATGAGTCAGATGATTAACATGAAGCCCGTCTTGCTCATGATCGAAATAATAAACACATAAAAAGACTGCCGAAACTCCTAAACAACATGAAGTTCGATTGAGTAAAAGACGTAAACAGTATCGTGTAAGAAAATAAAAGAAAAATTTACAAAGTATTAACTTAAACCAAGATACTGATACCCATGCTCTTTCCAATACCTATCAATATGAAGTTGACGACAATGTTCTTTCTGAATTGGATAGTATCCTCTTACATGATTTTCGCACTTGCATTACTTTCTACATGAATAATATTTGTTTTGTATGTATCCTTTCCTGTATGTAAAAAATCCTTATCATCGTCTATCTAGGTCAACCCATACGAGTTCAATGTAATCATCGCAATGTGATAAAGAATCAATGAAAAAGTTCTCTGCAGAAAATAATATGGACCCGGGCAAAGTCTTATCGAAATTGAGATGTTAATCACGCAATCGATTCAGTTTATTATCTTCGTATGCTTACCGTGGTAACATTATTTATTAACTTTCCACAAAACAGTAGACAACTCCCTCGACATCCATTTATGTTCGATTTTCTTATTATACGACAACTTTCAACAGATGGTGTAAGTTTTAGAGATTTCAATGTACGCCGTGCCAAGATTTCTTATGCACCTGAACATAACCGTTACTATACTGATGTTGTTATTGACAATGAAGTATTACAATCTTTACCTGAAAATGGACCGATAGATGGTCTCCTTACGAAATTGGATAACGTAAAGAAATAAGGCTTTAATGGGATGTAATAATATGAAGACTTCGTAGATAGAAACTTTATTCCTATTCCTCTTTTGTCTCCTAATGAAAAAAGTGCAATCACTGATAATCTTAACCAAATGCAAATCAACAATAATCCCATTTGTAACCAACTATAGACAGAACCTCTATAAATGAATTCAGATGCCAAGTTATATTGCCGTGCCTTTACAACGTCGTACACAACTGGAGATACTGATTTTTGATCTAAACATATTATAGAAATCAAACCTGCTGAATATTTTTCACATTTGCTTAAATATAAGGATGGAAGGTTGGTTTGTCATACTCGGTGACACTACTTTGCTTTAAATTCAAAGATATTATGGAGAGCACTACTGGAAGTTAAAGTTTGTATGAGATAGAGTTTAAATGGCTAGAAATATCTTGATGATTTGTATTGGCCCAAGCTACATGATTTAATAGAATCTTGATAATTATTGGTATCGAACTAAATGGCAACATCGTGGAAGTTTTTACAGTATATGCGTGGTATTGGAAAAGAAATGATACACCTAAAATAAAAGAGAATAAAGAAATGATAAATACAGCAATATGATATTTTGATTCATTGATAATTATGATTAATTCTAATCAGTCCCTAATATTCATCCACGCCAAAAACGTCTTGAAGAGCTAAACGATAACCTACAGGATTATGTTAATTTGGTAAACTAATTACGATAACACACACAATGCAATTTATCTTATTGTTTTTATACAGATCGTACTGGAAACCAATTTTACAGGTTTGATTATTAAAAAAAAACTACAGAAAATACATATCTACTGTATATAATAATATCGGTTGTTCTGAACTAATAAACTGCCAAGAACGATCCATTAATTAATCTGCATGTTCGCTTACAGCTTCAAGGTTAATGTGCTAATGTTGACTTGAAACCAATTTTCTCAATGCATGCTGCTATACAATACATATCAAAATATGTCATTAAATTAGAATCTTGTTTAGCTGCTTTTTAGAATATATTAAATAGGATTCTTGATAACAGCGATCCAAATAATTTCTTCCTAAGTACATTTCAATATTTATTTTTTCAAACTGTTGTAAAGTGTGATATTTCCACTCAAAAAACATGTTGCATCCTCTTTGGTCTTGCTCTTTATTATTCCAGCTAAAATTTATGACAAATCTCAATAAAAAGGTTTCTCATTATCTTATGAAAGCAGATGTAACTTTGATAAATACCTATCATCTAACAATGAAATTGGATGAATTGTACAGTTATCTCTACAAAAATACTGGTCTTATTTCACTGAATTTAAAGATCTTTCACATTTTTAGCTATATTCAAAGTATTGTTTTTGAAAAGGTCAATGGAAACAATCAAAAAGAAAGAATCTTGAACATGTTTGACTACAATCTTTATATAAGTATAATAGTTCTCAATAGAATGAATTTTGTTATGTAAAAGTTCTTTATGTTGCTTATTACAATGTTAATATATTAATTGAAAATAACATAACATAATATATTGGTTATATATTTTCTTTATTACTATAAAAAATTAAAATTTCACTTGTTAATATTCTTATTTTTTTATACAAAACATAAATGATTTTATTGAAAAAAAAAAGTAATAAAAAATATAAATATGAAAATACTGTAAATTTTTTATTACAAGCATTATTTTTTTAATATAGTCCAAATCTATTTATAACCAATTTCCATAATATAATAATAATAATAATAACTATAATATTAATAATCAACAGACAATTTACTAAATTTGAAGAGTATAAGTCTATACTCTATATAAATTTCAGTAATTTTAAACTGACAATCATTAACAATACAATAAACAACTGAAGCAGGCTACAATTATACAATCTACTAATATATCAACTACAATATTCTTCTACTAACATTCAAATGCTTTGCAATTATTGTTAATAATAAAGTTATAATACATAAGCAATAATATTATTTTTAAAGAAAAAAGACAGCCTAAACCTAATAAATAAAAATAAAAATAATATATTTTTATTATAAATAAAAGTAAAATACTAGAAAGTTATATCTTATAATTTGATAACTTTAACCAATTTTCTTTTACTACTGTTAAAGTTATATTTAGTTATAAAAAAAACAGTAATAATCTAAATAAACATATTTGATTTATACTTTGCAAAAAAAATTATTAATATAAAAATAATTGTTTTCATATATTAATTCATCTTCTACTACTTTAATGTTTCTTTTTTTTAAAATACATTTAATTATATATGGCTTTTGAGAAGTGATTAATTCTATTTTCAAATTAATATATATAGTAATATCATATTTAAACATTATATATTTCAAACTATTACATCTTTATACTTTTTTTATATAAAATAATTTTGTCTTTCATTTTTTTTTATTTTTATTTTTTTTTAAGAACTAAGTTACAATACATGTATGGATTTTATTGTCAAATCAATTAAGATCACAATTATTTATATGTGAACAATCTATTAACTTATTATTGATATTAACTCATGTTATCCACCTTTTTATTGGAATACCTACTTATACCAAATAAATAGATCCATATCTTGATTTATGCTTGTGACTCCTTACTTGTAAATATAAAATAAGAAAAATTCTATCTAATAGTTAAAAATCCTTCCTAACAATCTTCTTTTTGATTTATAATCCAACTTTTTTTCACAATTAGATCACCAATCCAGATTGCATCAACATCAAATAGAAAGATGGAAGTTCAATCGAATTTTAAAGTCTGCTGATCCAATTTTGAAGTACTAACCAATTGAGTATGACCTAAATTAGAAAACTAGCCAACCTAAATAGAAATGATAGTAATACAGAGTCTGCCATTTTAGTTGAGATTGTAAACTTATATTAGAGTTAAATCAGAAGTCTTGCCATATGCAATCT